TTGAAACTTGATTTGGTTCAGGATGGAGCGGCTGCACAAGCACCTAATGGTCCTTGCAACTCAATCACAATGATCAAAAGTTGCTTCCACAGCCTTCAGCGGGTAAGTGTGTATGAGTGCCCCAAACTAAAGGACTTAACATGGCTTATTTTTGCTCCAAATCTTGTAACTATAGACATACATGACTGCCCTGAAATGGAACAAATAATCAACTGTGGGCAATTGAGCAAAGTTGAGGAGGTGGTAGAAGATTTGAGTTCATTTGCAAAACTTAACAACCTGATATTGATCAATCTGCCACAGTTGAAGAGCATATATGCAAATGCATTGCCGTCACCATATCTGAAGACAATTGTTGTATTTAACTGTCCACAACTGAGGCAGCTCCCACTGGATTCCAGTGCAAGCAAACGTAATATCGTCATCGAAGGAGAGGAAGACTGGTGGAATGAGTTAGAATGGGAGAAGGAAGCTACTCGAAATGATTTTCTTTCCTCCTTCAGAAATTTAAAGCTTTAACATAACTGGCAATTGCTGTATTAGTGTTCCTTTCATGCCATGATATGATTCCTCCCTTCTGTACATATATCTTTACTAAAGAAGGAATTGAGGAATGCAATAGTCGTAGCTTTTGTCAAAAGTTGAAGAATAGTGAATGGTAAACAATCTCAGTACAGGGTAAACAAGTTTCTGACTTAAATATGTAGGAATTTTTTAAAATATATAACAAAAAAACTTAAATATCTAGAATTAATTTGTACCAAATAATGCATGGGAGATTCTTCAATAAGTACATAAGTTAAGGATTAGTTAAATATTTCTAATTTCGGTCGTTAGATTGCATTTATTAGGGGAGTATTTTTGCTCACCACTTTAATTCAATGTGTACCCTCACCACCCATTTTAAATGTTGACATGTGTACAAAGGTGTAACCATAGTTAATTTTTATTTTATTTTTATTTTTCTGATGACATTATTATGAGAGTGAAAAAACCAAAAATCCTTTTAATAAAATTTAATTAGAGAAAAACCAAAAACCCAACAGCCACCAGCCCCACGCACCCAACCAATCTGGTAAAATCCGCCGGCAGCTACATTCTCTCCTCCTTGCCGCCAAAAATACCTCAGCAACCACGCACCCAACCAATCCTGTAAACTCCGTCGGCAGCAACCTTCTCTCCTCCTTGCCGCTAGAAATACCTCAGCAACCACAGCCACCGTTCCCCTGCAGCAATCCAAAATCAGCTGAAGATGGCGAGGTAAGAAGAACCAAAACCGAGTCCAAAAGACCCAAAACAGAATCCAAGAGACCCAAAAATCCGAGCGAGAGAGTTGTCCGATCCTGTTAAAGTTGAAAACAATGGCACAAGCAGAGACTCATATTCAGCCCCAGATTATCCGTTGCTGCCATGGCCGATTGGAAAGAAGAGAGCCTTCTAATCGCAAGCCATGTTGTCGATGCCTGAGCGACAAGTTAAATACAAGAAATTTAACATAAAATACTTATTTAAGAATTTTCCAATAATGCATATATAATATAATATAATATCGGATCGGATTGAGATGCGAGCAATGTTATAAAAGTTTAGCCCAATCCAACTCCTATGGGCTAACAATCTGCAACCCACGCCATATTCCTTAGGTAACGAGGAAAAGGAATCTTTATCCATATAGAAGGCTCGCGAGTAACACATCATCTCTGAGAGGGAGGCATAATTCGCAGACTTAGGGCTAGGCCAGTACACTCGAGTATTCTCCTCCATGTTCACTAGACTAGTTTACAGTATTTTTTTGTCAAAAAAAATAACAAAAAGAAAGAGAAGAAAAAGAAGAGGGAGAAATGATTCAAGCATTCTTCCAATTGAGTATCCTCTGAATCGAATATCGGATTTGCCGGATTCGATTATGCAGAAAATCCTCTTTCAATTGCCTGCCTATGAAGATGCTGTCCGCATGAGCTTTGTGTCGAAAACATGGCAAACCCTATGGAGCTCACTACCAGCCTACCATTTTGATTTCAATTCTGATACGGGACAACCCATCTCTTATTATTATCAAGCAGGCCGGTATCCTAAAAGGGAAAGGCCTGCCACCACGGCACTGGACGAATCGCTGCGAATGCTCCATGAGTATGACGATGATCAGAAAAAGGTAATCAATTACTTTAGGCTGAGAGGGAGAGTTCCTTTGCAAAGCCAAGCCTGGAATGTCGACCGGTGGATCAAGCTGGTAACCAAACACTTTGTCAAAGAGCTACATCTCCGCTTCAGTTATGTTGCCGGGATCCCAAGGTATCGTTTTCCTCCTGCAAGCTTTGATGTTGGGTCATTAGTTGTGTTGAGTTTAAGCCATTGTGTTTTGGACCAAGCTTTGGTTCAAGAGGGGAGGAGGCTTTGTTGCCTAAAAGAGCTTAGTTTTTCTTATGTTGATTTGAATGGGCTAGTCACGGACCTCCTTTCTAGATGCCCTTCACTTGAAACACTGGAATTCTACCGGTGCGAAAACACTCAGCATACTCAACTTGGTGATCTTACAAAGCCGATCAGGACGGTGAACATTGAATTTTGAACTCAATTTTGTTATCCAGTTTTGAGTTACTACTTGAAATAATATTAAACGATTTAGCAAATGTAAATTACCATATTTAGCTCAGATAAATAGCAGAAGAGCTAATAAGCTTGCCTCTATTATTGGGGGGCGATGTTTTGATGAGTTTAAGCGAACACCTAAAAAAGGCCCCGGTCTTAATTTATGCATAGCACCCATAAGTTCTAGGACTTCACCAATGTGTTGGAGCAGGTTTTGGGTGGTTTTCGCCTTTTGTTTCGATTCTATGATTTTCTTTAGATTTTAGTTCAATACAAGTATATAAGCTTTAATGATCAGTTTATGTTTGTTTAACTGTTTACTGTTATTGATTTTTTTTTGTTTATATTATTCAATAAGGTAAGATCACTATTTGTGTTTGTTTTATGTGCAAAGATCGTATCGGTTAAGCATGTATATATACACTACTTGGTAATTTGGAAAAGTGTTTGGCAAGCAAGAAATAGAGAGAAACTGAGAAAAAATTTCGAATCTCTTCGTATTCCTGAATTGCTTGATTTTGTCTTTAATTTTTTCAGAGTAAAATTTGATTACCTATTTTAGAAAAATTAAGGTAACTTCACAAATGCTATTTGATTACCTATTTTACATGAACATAAACTGGAAAGACCAATATGTCTATCTTGAGATTTTCTAAGAAGATTTTGCTACTACACGTTTTACCCTGCATATCACATATCTCAATGAATTTCAAATTGTAACAATATGAAAACCAATAAGTCACAGATATATGCATGTTGAAGGCAATGACGTTAATTTTTTCTTTGAAATTTATTTTATTACTTGATATATAACTGATATTAACTCCTGATGAGTAGCTAGCACTCTCTAGCTAGCTGACAAGGAACCAAGGCATGTTTACACTCCCCGTGTCCATGCGGAGAAAGCAAGAAATGGGTGATGTTCTCCTGAATGTGCCGATTTTAGCAATGTATGCAGATCCCAGTTGATGATCAACTATATGGGACGCAGAACATTAACATTGGAATTGTTGTGCTTGGCCCGAAAAGCTTTGCGTAAGTTTTTGGATAGGAAAATAAGCTTTTGGATTGTTTGTTCTCGTCTGAGGTTGGGTCGGTACAGGGGTGATTCTGGGGAATCGCAGTGGATAAGCTTAAGGTCAATCCAGGTTTTGCAGTGGTGACTCTTGGTAACAACAGAGTTGCTAATGGAATGTAGGGACAAAGAACTATGACTGTGTTGGCCATGGCAATTTCAATGTCTTGTTGAGCAATCTTCAACTTTTCAAACTCAGACACTCATCAGATGATTTATCAATGGCAAAAAAGAAACCAACGCTCCAAGATAGTCATGTCTTAGAAAGTGACACAATCTGTTGTTTTATTCTAGCTAACGCTTTCCAGATAAAAAAAAAGGTCTGGTTATTGCATATAATGTTTGGGGAATCGATTCGAAAGTGCTAAAATTTTCTGTGCTATAGGATCTCCTTGATTCTAAAAATAGAGATGACGCCTCACTAAAAAGAAATCTAAAGGTAAAAACTTTAACAATATATTTTAGAGGAATGAACAAACAGTAGGAAATCTGTAACACCTGTATATATTTGTGTCATTGAGTAACTGCATCAATAAGATCATATGATGAACAATGTAAAGTTAAGACTTATATTGCCAAAATGAACATAGTAACTTGTGCATAATTTTGAATAATCAAGGTAGTTATTTAGACAAAACAAGCAGCATCCATCCATGCTAGTATTCTTTTCAAACAATAATAGGAAGCTACCACTGAAACTGCAAACTACAATTGTCAATAAAAATAGCTACCCTAATGCTAGTACCACTGTAGCTTTAAAGTGATCCAAGAAACTCCTCCAAGATTTCTCCCTAATACACGGCTGGCTAAACCTTCACGACCAATCACGCGTTTTCCATCTTTAATACCATGAAAACCTTCAATCTTAAGTGATTTTAAGTCATGCCGCCAACATTTGATATGGTTGTCTCCACAACAGAGGAGATTTGTTTCCCTATACGACATTACCTTCTTGTATAAATCCTGAAAGGTACGAAGGTCACATGCAGTGAATAGTTATGGAACCTACATACTTAAGAAATTAAGCAGTCAATATTGTCCTATAAGATTATCAAATTATTATCTTTATCGTCAGTTTCTTTTCAGCTACGGAGATGCATAGGGTGATTGGACGACACCCCAAAAGCAACCCATCAATGAGAGCTGTTTGATCTATTGAAGACCTAATACAAACCTCCAAATACTTGATTTTCGAAACTGGAGAACTTGTTTCTTCTCTTAATTATTCCTTAGCAAATCTGATCTGTATGCATACATATTTTATAAAATAAGTTAATTAAGGTGACAAATATACAATAAATACATAATGAAGAAGAATTGAGCTGTATTTGTGGACTTACAACTGTGGGGGAGTAAAAAATTTTAAGACCAACCCTTGTTTTGGCGTGAACTTTCCAAGATATTCGAGCAGTTGAAGAAACCATGAAGTGCCAATATCACTCCTGGGTTCTAGGGTAAGATCAACTTCTTCTAGCTTCATAGAATTCAAAGAAAAGGACGGCTGAAGTTCTTGCCCGGCGTGTTTGTAAGAAACAAGGTTGGGAGTCTCTATGCTGATCTTCTTTATCATAGTGTCATCTTGGAAATTCAATGTTAATGCCTTGAGTTGGTGACTCAAGATTTTCAGCTCTGTTATATAAGAGACTGACAAGTTTATCTTCTCAAGAAAGGGAAATTTCAAAAGAAGTGTCTCAATATATTGAAGGCTAATTTCACCGCTAGGAGTTTCCATTATCAACTCCTTTAAATTACTGCAGTTGATTGCTTCAAGGTCCAGTGGGTAGCATTTCCATGTACGATAGCAATAACGAAGAGTTTGAAGATTGGATGCTTCAATCTTGTAGCTATGAACTCTAGTAGTAGTGTCTAGGTCAACATTCTTGAGCTTGGAAAATCCACAGAGCTGAACATCTTTTATGTTTATACAGGCACGGAATTTTAAATTCTCAACAGAAGGACATCTAGAAAGGAGTTCATTTGTTAATCCATTCAAATCCACAAGTGACAAACTGAGCTCTTTTAGGCAGCTAAATCTCATGCCCTCTTGCTTTAAGGCTTCCTTGGAAATATCACAAGAACTTAACCTCAATACAACTAATGACCCAAGATCGGAACTAGCAGGAGGAAAACTGTACCTTGGCTTAATTTATCAATATAATAATATGTTTATGTGGAGCTCCAGCACTTGGACATAGTGTTTGATGACCAACTTGATCCAACGGTCTATATCAGAGGCTTGCTCTTTCTTGTGAAGTGTCCCTGTCAGCCTAAAGTGAACTATCCTTTTCTGGTCTTCATGTTCATGTAGAACTCTCAAGGACTCGTCCACAGAAGTTACAGACTCCTCTTCTGACCTTTTCCTCTTTTGATCCAGACCATCTTCACTTTCCATACAAAAATTAAATTCAGAGACAGGCAGTGAGTTCCATAGACTTTTCCATGTTGTTGACAAGAAGCTCATACGGACTGCATCCTGGGCAGGCAAGCGAAAGAGGATTTGATGCATAATGGAATTCGGCAACTGCGATATTCGATCCATACTAGATGAATGATGAATGTTTTCTGAAGAAACTAAAAAGAGAAATTATTGTACGCTACTGAAAGTTTTTCCTGTATATATGTTTGGAACCCTAGCTGTAGGCCTATATATGAAGGAGTTTTATTCCTGTGTGATGTTGGGCTCCTGCCACATACCAAGCCATCCCCAAACTACAGAGTTCCTTCTTTATTTTTAGCCTTTAACGTTGGGCCCAATATTCATATAGATATATTTTAATTAAAAAATATATAGAAATATATATTCCACGTTAATGAATGTTCCTTTGTTGTGCAGGGTGGTAGTGAAATTATTCAGAACTGCCTCAGAGTGCGGCGACACGGCATCAATTGACTTGAGACCTTTTCTCGGTCATCGGTTGACTTGGGACTTTGGTGCACCTACCATAGTACCAACTTATATTTACAACCTCATAAATTTGGAAAAAGAAACAGAAATTAAAAACAAAAGAGGTGAAAATGACTTGGTCGTTGGGATCCAAAGGATAAATCATATGTTTTTGAGGTTTGTGTTTTGTGTTGCTAAGTTTTGTGCATGTTTTGTTTTTTTGGGTTTATTTTAATTAGTGTTATATTCAATCGCATGTGGGTACTTCTTACTTATAGATGTACGTAGATCTTACAATGAGTGTGGAGATAAATTCTCTACTGTTGGAGACGCTCGCTAAGTTTGGGTCGTTTTTCTGATTGCCTGAAAAAAAACATGTTACAAATTTTGAAATTTGGGTTCTCTTCAACTTGTGGTGACCGCAAATTTGGGTTCCCTGATTGATTTGTATCGTTAGTCTAAGTCAAAGTAAACTCATGTGTTCACTTGGAAATGAAGTACCAATTGGATGTAGTATTGATCACGCGATAGAAGCGTTGAATCAAATTTAACAATTCTGTGGATTATCAATTATCAATTTGTCAACGCAAAAACTTGCAAAAAATTTCTTGGTTTTAAACAAAGAATCGACCACGTCCCTAAAGCCAATACACATATTATTGTTTCTCATTTCACTGCTTTGGCAATATATACTACAAGTTGATATTCATGACGTGTCAACTTGCAAAAGATTCCCTTTTCAGACGCAAAACTTGACTAGGTCCATGTTTATTTATTTCTTGCTCCAATTCTACTACTTTGGCAATATATATTACAAGAGAATATTCAAGAAGAAGATGTTAATTTGCAGCTTCATTTCTTCCCTTGGAAAAAAATTTCTTTCTGCATAATGGAGATGTTCGAACATCTTCTTTCTGCATTGCTTTGTGGTTTTGCTCTTATACTTGTAGTTCATGCACAAGATGATCAATCAGGTATGTTCATATATTGATCATTTAAAACTTGAAAAATTATTAATTTTGATCATAAATGGTTCACTAACAATTTGGCTAGCTAATATACTCTCTCTGATCACTCAGGCTTCATCAGCTTGGATTGTGGGCTGCCTACAAATTCTAGCTATTCTGAGCCAACAACAGGCCTTGACTACATTTCAGATACAGCCTTCATATCCACTGGAGTAAGCAAAAGTATTGCCCCTCAGTACAAAGCTACTCATCAACAGCAAACGGCTTATGTCAGGAGCTTTCCTCAGGGGGTCAAGAACTGTTACAGAGTAAACATTACACAAGGGACTAAATATTTGATCCGAGCAAGTTTCGTGTATGGAAATTATGACGGGTTAAATAAGCTGCCAAAGTTTGATCTTCTCTTTGGAGCTAATTCTTGGGACTCAGTGGCATTTGCTGATGCATCTTCGAGTACTATCAAAGAACTTGTTCATGTTCCCACATTAGACTATATACATGTGTGTCTAGTCAACAAGGGCACTGGAACACCATTCATTTCAGCACTGGAGTTGAGGCCTTTGAAGAACACTACTTATGTCACTCCAATGGGTTCGTTGGAACTCTTCCTTCGCTTAGATGTCGGTTCGACATCCAATCAGTCATACAGGTGAGCCATTTCATATCTGAAGTAGTACTGGTTTCAAATGTATTCTATTTTCTAGCTACTGATAACAAGTGGTACTATTACTTAAGGTATGATTATGATGCTTTGGATCGGATTTGGGTACCTTATACCTACAATAAGTGGACACAGTTAACTACCTCGCTTACCGTAGATGCTCAAAGTCACAATGACTACCAAGTACCATCTATAGCAATGAGAACTGCCAGCACACCGATTGATGCCAGTGCTTCCATGGACTTCAGCTGGGAATCCCCAGATACATCGACTGAATACTATGTGTACCTGCACTTTGCTGAACTCCAGCAGCTTAAAGCCAACCAGTCCAGAGCATTCAATATCACTCTGAATGGAGATTATTGGTTTGGACCTGTTGTCCCAGAGTACTTGTCCACAATCACCGTGTTCAGCCGCTCATCCTTAACTGGAGGCAACTATAGTTTTTCACTTGTTCAAACTGAGAATTCAACTCTCCCACCAATCCTCAATGCCATGGAGGTCTACTCATTGATCGATTTATCTCAACCAGAAACCGATGGAGATGATGGTATGTGAATCATTTCAAAATCTTTCTTGTCAATTTAGTTTTAGTATTCAAGTATTTCAGTATTTAATTTGCTTGTGATAAAAAATAGTGGCTTCCATCATAAACATAAAGTCAACATATGGAGTGGACAAAAATTGGCAGGGAGACCCATGTACTCCCCAAGGCTACATGTGGGAAGGTCTTAACTGTAGCTACAGTGGATCCCCTAGAATCATATCCTTGTAAGTCTATGCCTGCCTTCTCTTTTAGTTTTTTTTCTTCTCAACATCATGAATGAATTTATTGAACTTTCGATTAGGGACCTGTCCTCGAGTGGATTGACCGGGGAGATAACTTCATATATATCCAATCTTGCCATGTTACAATCTCTGTAAGTATCTCATGATCAGAAGCTCAATAAGTTAGCAAGATATATACATATAGGTTCCTCTAGATATGGTCTTTAACACTAAATCTATGCATATTGCTTAACTCAGGGATTTATCAAACAATAGCTTGACTGGATCAGTACCTGAATTTTTGTCTAAATTGCCAAACCTGAAAGTCCTGTAAGTACCTTGGATTTGAATTGTGACTGCAAAGCTGTTGATAAATTAGGAAAGCAGGGGATCAATAAACTTTCTATTCCCTTGCAGTAACCTGGAAAGAAACAAGCTCAACGGTTCAGTTCCAGCTGACCTTATTCAAAGATCAACAAGTGGTTCACTATCATTGAGGTCTGCTTCTGGCCATAGTAGTTTCTTTTTTCATTACCATTACAATCTTCTGTTCTTTTATCCGAAAGAAGCATTAAAATCTGTAGGAGTTACTAGACCTATTCATGCCACATTGACTATTATGTTGTTGGCTACAATTCCAATTTCCATGACTGACTATTGATCATCAACCTTGTTGATAGTGTGGGAGAAAATGCAGACCTATGTGCATCAATATCATGCAAAAAGGAGGAGGAGAAGAAGAAAAATATAGTAATTCCAATAATAGCATCAATTGTTGGGTTTTCTATTCTTGTGGTAACAGCAGTGGCTATATTCATGGGCCTGAAAAGAGGAAGAAAACAAGGAGGTAAACTATAAAGTTTAAGACGAAACTATTGAAAATTTGGTTATCAAGAATACATGTTCTGAAGTAAACACAGAAATTGTATTCCTATGCTTATGAAACTCCGGATGATCTATTTTTGCAGTTCCACAACAACCCAATAATCAAATTGATTCATTCGAGTCCAAAAAACGCCAATTCACATACTCAGACGTCCTGAGGATCACAAATAACTTTCAGACAAAAGTTCTTGGGCGAGGTGGATTCGGAAAAGTTTACCATGGTTATGTTGATGATACTCAAGTAGCTGTGAAGATGCTTTCTCCAACATCAGGTCAAGGATACCAACAATTTCAAGCAGAGGCATGTACTCTAAGAACTCATGGATAAATTATAATGACCTCATTTATATTTTTAGGACCAAAATATGACTTTGAAGCTTAACTTGCAGGTCAAACTTCTTATCAGAGTTCATCATAGAAACTTGACTAGCCTTGTTGGATACTGCAATGAAGGAACCAACATGGCACTCATCTATGAATTTATGGCCAATGGAGATTTGGAATCACATCTTCTAGGTAGGGATCTCGATTAAATTGAGACTCGACCTACTTTGAATCAAATATTAAACAAAAAATAAACTGGGTTTTGACACTTAATTGTATAGGTGAGGACAGTAATGCAAATGTGTTGACTTGGGAAGGTAGACTTCAAATAGCAACAGATGCAGCACAAGGTTAGCCAGTGGAGACTTTGGGCAATCAAAATATATTAAATGCTTTCCTATTTTGTTAGCAGTAACAAAACAATGGATTTGAAATGTAGGATTGGAGTATCTGCACAATGGTTGTAAGCCGCCTATTGTCCATAGAGATGTGAAGGCAACAAATATTTTGTTGGCTGAAAATTTCCAAGCAAAATTAGCTGACTTTGGCCTGTCCAGAATTTTCCCAACTGATGGAGGCACTCATATGTCCACAGCTGTAGCTGGCACCCCTGGATACCTTGACCCTGAGTAAGAAGTCTCTTTGTCATTTATTTATGCATGCTTTTCAATTTTCTTTTAAGGCAATGTGGAACTTTATATAGAAGAACGGCAACTTTACACTTGAGTCATATTTGGCTTGCAGGTACCACACAACAGGATGGCTGAATGAGAAAAGTGATGTTTATAGCTTCGGAGTTGTGCTGTTGGAGATCATCACTAGCCGCCATGCGATATCTAGAACACAAGAGAAAGTTCATGTCAGTCAATGGGTTAGCTCTATGCTTGCTAAAGGGGATATCAAAACTATCGTTGATCCGAGGTTACATGGAGATTACGAAATTAACTCTGCCTGGAAGGCTGTTGAACTAGCAATGGAGTGTGTGTCTGACACATCCACCAGAAGGCCAAACATGAGTGCAGTAGTGATAGGGTTGAAGGAGTGTTTGGCAGCAGAGTTGGCTCGAGCCAACGTGAGCCGTGTGACTGAATCAACAGATTCAGTTGTGTACTCTATGAATGTGACTACTGAACTCAGTCCTTTGGCAAGGTAATTCTTTGTGTCCAGAAGGTGAATTTCGAAAGACGAGTAGTTTTCATTTTCCATTTCCTCTGTTTTAAGCTTCATTCATTGTCCAATGCTTTTGTAATTGTATTTGTTATATCATCTTGTGTTGAAGATTTGTGGTTGTGAGGGTCTTCAGTAAGGCTCTGCAACTATGTAATTGTAAAAAATGTACTGGTATAATATTTGTATATGTGTCTGTATCATGAATCATGATATAATATCATTAGAGTTGGTGATCCTTTCCCTTTTTAATTTAAAAGACATAAGCAATGCATAGAGAAGTCGATGCTGGTAACAGATTTAACATATTGTGAAGTTGACTTTTGAATACCACATAGAATTTGCATTTTGCAGGAACCATGTTCTTGCCACCTGGTAAATGAATATCTTTTGGACAACGAGATACAGAAGATCCACATTTACTCCCAAAATCTGGACAGTCGGTGTGGTTTATTTCATGAAACTAAGAATCCCAAAATCAAATATGAAACTAAATCAAATTTTTTTATAACCCTAATCTACAAACTGGGGTTTAAAGTTAGGAACTTTACTGAAAATCTACAGAATACTGAAAATTGAGGAGTTTACCTGGTCAAGACTCAAAGAGGATTTTGGTGAGCTCCCAAACACAAAAATAGCAGGAAAATGAAGAAATTAAATGAGAGGGAAACAGGTACAGATCCAAAGAGGGATCACATTGCAGGATATCCCAAATTTTATTCTCTTGTGATTTTTACCCTGGAGGACTGTAAATGGTAACCAACTAGTACAACTTCTAGAAAGTTAGAAAACTACATGTTCATATGAGCTATAAGTCAACTTTTGTTATTACAACATTGGAAATTCATATGAGCAACCTTTTGTTTAACTCTTTTCTTATTATATGAGTCAAGTCTTTGCATCTGTTAGATCCCCCCTCCCCCTTTTCTTTTTAACTTTCTTGTTCCAAAGGCTGGCCACATGCCCCAAACCTGAACTTTGGTCATACAACCTGAGAATGTTGACAAAGTCCTCCGATATTTTGATATTGCGCTCTCTCTTTCTTGCTCTCATTTTTTAGTCCTGGCATGATTCATCAAGCTGTTGAAATATATGGATTTTAATACTCTGTTGAAACCATTATATTCCGTAGATCACTATTTAAAAAGAATTTTATTACATAATGAGTGTTTAAACAATGAATTTACAGGTAGTCCATAGCCTATAAACGCAACACAAACGCAGTTTTCTAATGAATATGTATATAACACAATGCAATTAGACTCATAGTTCTTCAGGAGATGACCAACAGAATTGAAATAATTCCAATTGATTAATAGGGGTTGATTAATTTCTCCATCTATACTAAGGTCTGAGTTTAGCGAACCTTCCCAAGCATATGTTGCCTCTCTGACATAGACTTCCGGCCGTGCACATCTTCAGGTAATTGACTAGCATTATAGGTGCAAAGCTAAACATGAAAGCAACATCTGAACTAATATTCATGTTAACAACCTGTTTGACTAATCCATTGTCACAGATATAACTCATGTCTATCAGTACATATATTTATATAAATAGCATACATAAGATGATATTCCTTGTGAACAACATTCAGTGTTCTTGTGCAGGGCAAGAAGTTGTGATAATGCTGGGGAAATTGAGCCATTTCCTGTATCCATTGCTTGGTTTGATTGCAGTAATACTTGTAGTTCATGGCCAGGATCAAACAGGTATATGAATATTTGAACACTAGGAGTTTAGCTTTATTTTCGGTTCACTAAATGTAGATAAAGCTAATAAGGCATCTCTTTTTTCCTCTGTTTCAGGCTTCATTAACATAGACTGTGGGCTACCACCTAATTCAAGCTATAACGAGCAGAGAACAGGCTTGTTTTACATTTCAGATGCAACTGTTGTGGACACAGGTGAAAGTAAGCTCCTATTGGTACAAGACAGAGGTCTCTACCCTCAATATGTTTGGTATCTCAGATACTTTCCTGAAGGAATAAGAAATTGTTTCACCATAAATGTAACAAGAGGCACCAAATATTTGATCCGAGCAACGTTCTTTTATGGGGATTATGATGGCCAAAATAAGGCATCAGAGTTTGACCTGCATCTTGGATCTAACTTGTGGGATACAGTATATTCAAACAACACAATCAAGGAGATCATACATGTCCCTTTGCAAAGCCATATACAAGTTTGTCTAGTCAATACAGGCTCTGGGACGCCGTTTATATCAGTGATAGAACTAAAGCCTCTGAATAATACACTTTACCCTACTCAAATGGGGTCCTTAGCACTCTTCAGGCGGTATGATGCTGGTACAATTACTAATGTCACATACAGGTCTGTCTTCTCCTTTGTTATGAACTCATTTAATTTGAAATGTTCACTTTGATTAAATTCACATGAAATCTTATATTCAGGTATAAAGATGACGTTTATGATCGCTTCTGGTATCCCCATTATTACAGTGCATGGACACAAGTAACCACCTCACTTACCATCGAACCTGAAAATGAGACTGCCTACCAACCACCATCCATTGTCATGAGTTCTGCGGCAGCGCCAAAAAATATGACTACTTTGTTAGAATTCTTAGTTTGTATATGTATCTTCCGATTTAGGAAGAGATGTATTTTCTGGAGATTTCAGCTAGAGAGAATGAAGAGAAAATGAGGAAGGCACTGTTCTATTGAATTCTTACAAAACTGCCGCTTACATAGTGTGACTGACGTAGAGAGAAATGTGATTCTCTTCTAACAGAATTACAACTGTCACCCTATTAGGTGCTTACACGTGTCATACCAGATCTAAGCTAGAGAATCCAAGTAGACTATGATCTAATGGTTCTCATTACATCATTTAAAATAGACAGAACAAAAAATAGAAAATTACTTCTGCTCTAACAAATCAGCCAGAACTGAACAATCAGCCAGAACAGAACAATCAGCCAGAACTGGACAAATCAGGCAGAACTGGACAAATCAGGCAGAACTGGAGAAATCAGCCAGAACAGGATTATATTTCAACA